GTGGTCTATCACATGAGGGATTCCATTGAAACTCTTCAATCTTGTTCAGTTGTTTGTAGGGATACGGCTAACATATTTATGGATCAGGACCTCACGTTGAGAACCATGCTTAATAATGCACCCCACTGATTTGGTGACATTATTTTATTTAGAGATATCTTCTTGTCTTTCAAAAAAACAAAAAGAGGAGATTTTTCTTGAAGTAAGACCTTCTATATCGCCTCACGAACGTGATCCTATGTCTTATTGAATCCTGGTTAAAATATACTATTGGTCATTCAGGGCACGATTGGTCCTTCAATTTTTAAAAGTCTATAAATAGTTCTTCAAGTGTTAATACACCTCCACATGCAGTCCTTCAAATTTAAAAAGTCCATAAGTAGTCCTTTAAGTATTCATAAACCTCCAAATGCAGTCATTTTTACGGTACACGTTAAAAAATAAACTGATTAATACTTTCATTTATATAATACGAAATACTTGTACTTATATGTAGGTGATTATTTTTTACGTATAGGGAATTAATGAGTTTTCACAATTCCAATCAAAGTTTTGTGTTCTTAATTATAAAAATTGAACCCTTGTAAAAGTAAAATTATCCCTAGTATTTACAATATGGAAGGAAAAGACTCACCGTGCTGCGCTGCTCTGCTCGGGGGACGGGGCCAACACCGGGCACCCCATTGCAGGTCGGAAGTTGCATTTAGCACTGAGGCAGAAATTATATATATGGAGCTAGTTGCATCTGGCACCCATTGCGGGTCAGAAGTTATATATATGGAGCTAGTTGCATCTGGCACCCATTGCGGGTCAGAAGTTATATATATGGAGCTAGTACTCCGTTTAGCTTTTAACGTGTACCGTAAAAAGGACTGCACCTGGAGTGTTGATGAATATTTGAAGGACTACTTATAGACTTTTGAAACTTCAAGGACTAGATTTGGAGATTGTTGATTACTTCAAGGACTATTTTTGAACTTTTGAAACTTGAATGACGAATTGTGCACAGCTCACAAAGTTGAAGGACTAATGGTGGATTTTAACCATAAATATAACATGATTTTTACATCATACACCATTATAATATAAATGAAATATTTGTATATATTTTATATTATGTTATAATGAATTGTTACATATTTTATCCTATTGTTCCAAAAAGACACATTTGTATTATATTGTGCTTTATATACTCTATCTGACCTAAAACTAACTTAGCATTTGACGTGTCACGGTCTCTAATGTAATATTTTGACTATTAATATATTTATTTACATATTAATATATATTATAAAAAATAAAATATTTTTAAAAAAATGTTAAAAATAAATACATTTTTATGAAAATTCAATGCATTTTTTATAAACTATTGAGGGCCCATTTGGTGTGCGTAGAAGATACCAGTTTCTTTATCTCCCGCTATGTGAACTCTTCTTTTTAATGCTTGATGAAGTATTAAAAGAACACTCCAAACAACTTCATTTCAGATTTTGAAACTAGTATCATTTCCTCCAATAATGTCAAAATGTATTAGGAAGTGTAATTAAATTAGGATACTTCTTTCCTTTCCTACTAGGATTATTCTTTCTTTTCCTACTTGTACTTTGATTACTCTTATATTCCCTATATATAGGGCCATATCTCTCAATATTCAATAAGACAAGTTATTATCAAATTGTATCATGGTATCAGAGCTAAGGCTCTCAAAAACCTAGCCTCTCTTTTTTTCCGACCGCCGCCCATCATGGCAGCCCCGTCGGATCCTTTGGCGTCCTTACCCTCCGGAGTAAAACTTTTGCTTCGGAGTCTCCACAACTTAATCCCAGAAAAACTCACCGAAACAAATTATCCGGCATGGTCTCTCAATGTCCAGACAGCTCTTTCAGCTAATCTCCTCCTTGGATGGATTGATGGTTATGAAGCAGCCCCGGCGCCAACTATCTCCAAAAACGATAAAACCGTCCCTAATCCAGAGTATACCTCCTGGACCATCGTTGACACACA